GACCTATGCAACACCATGTAGGCCTACCAAATATAAAAACAATAACTCATTTATTTCTGCTACTCATCAGTGAAGTGTACAATTATTATTAGACCTACTTGCTTGTGATCTTGATAATCGATTGACTTGTTTCATACATTTAGACATCCAAATGCGAATATATATTGCTGTCTTGTCAGTTAGGTAAAATGGTCATTAAGGTACACCCAGAAGCATTGAAGGCGACCAATAATTTTTCCAAATACTGTAGTGTGCGAGTTCACGGATCTATTAAAATGGGGCCGAGAGCTTATACCGTTCCATAAGGGCGAGTAACTAGAGAAGGTGTCTTACTCAAGGCATGGGGGGATCAAGGGTAGAAATATCGGCATTATTTGCAGATATCGAACAGCTTCGAAGCTAAAACCGACCGCGAGTGGAGCGTTTTTAAGACAGCGATTATAAAGTGTATTTTAACGATTATAGGATTACTGTCACTTATTGATTTTTTTTTAAATTTAAAGTTTAGGCCTACATTTAGTTGGCAGTCACTGTTTTATTTTGTTACGTTGCCCAAAATGTAAGAATGAAATGAAATAAAAATTAAGTTGTCTTAATTCAGAATCGGATCATGAGTTGTTTGATAATTTAAATAAATATATATTTAAAACATGCTCTTTCAAACGATGTATTCATAATAAGTATAACACACATAATATAATCTTACAAAAAAACAGTTCTTCATTATTATATTCGTTCTCGACAACCAGATATAGCGACATGGGGCAGAGTAAACAAACTGATTTCGCGTATCGCCCAATTCACATAACAGTAGCTCGTTTAAACATGGTTTAGAGTTGTTTACTCAGAGGGTAGAAAGCGTTTAGCTAGTCAACGTAACAATGTGTCTTCATAATGGTCAAATGAACCGGATCGATATTCGGCTTAAGTGGACATCAATCAATCGATTTGAAACCTTTACCCCCTAGCTTTCCTAAATGTTTCGTTAACATTTTCACGAGCAATGTAATTTCTGACGAGCAAAAAAATATTCTGAATCTGATTCCATCCATGTGTAACTACAAAGTAATGATTATTTGCTAGATTGGGGTTATTGCTAGATTGTATTTAAAGCGACAAAACAAGAATACAATGGCAGTACAGCAATTATGTTAATATTATCAAAGCTAGAATAGTATTAATAAAATGAAAATAAACTATAGAATAGATAAAGATAAATATATCAAAACATTTTAACATCATACTAAAGGTACTTACATAACTTCACACGATAATAAAACAATGAGTAAAATTAGAAATCCATTGGCAAGAACGAATATTGCAGATAAAAGAAAACATTCTATAGAGAGGTTTCGCAAGCTAATGATAATGAATACGGTTACGTCATAATAAAATATAATATATAATATATATAAAATATATATAAAATATATTATATAAGATACAAATATTATATAAAATATATACATATATCAAAACATGTTAACATCATACTAAATGTACTTACATAACTTCACATGATAAAATAACAATGAGCAAAATTAGTTGGCAAGGAAGAATATTGCAGATAAAAGAAACATTCTATAATAGGGAGGTTTTGTAAGCTAACGATAATGAATATGGTTAAGTTATAATTGTTTAAGTCAATCCATACAATAGCATATTTGTCACAACATTGGCAATCCATGACTTAAAATAAATCGACATCACATGCAGCTCGTATATGTATTGTGAATGTAGGCACGACTGAAGATGACGTATTCATATCCGTAAGGTTGCAAAATCTCTGTTACGCATTACTACCAGTATCAGCTGTAGTAATTATGAAAATTGAATGAAAATCCTGACACTCTATGACAAATAGCAAACAAGACAAAACTCATGTTTGTGTATCTCATTGACCTCTAACATCTGTCTCTTATACACATCTAGATGTGTATAAGAGACAGAAGTTAAACAAACACTATTCCATTGAAAGTTTGAAGTTTTTTGGAAAAGTACTCGAAATATGGCGATGTAGCATAGCTCTCAACGAATGTAGTCCTGTAAATAAATATATGTATATATATATATATTTCATTATATGTAGATTCCTATGTGTCTATATACATATTTGTATTGTATATATATATATAATGTGTGTGTGTGTGTTTATGTGTAGGTGTATGTATATGTAATTTTCCTTAATGAATAGCTTTGTTCCAATTTTAGTTCAAAATAAGGATATTTCAGTACTGTATAACATTTGATAAACAATACAATGGTAATGTGTAGCAATTATATTAAAATTATCTGTGCTTGAACAGTATTAAAAAATGAAAGTAAACAAAATAGATAATAAATAAAGATAAGTATTAATGAAAACATTTTAACATAATATATTATACTAAAGGTATAACAAGTATAAAATATGTAAAACTATACGACAGATAGCAAACAAAACGAAAATTCGTGTTTGTGTGTCTCATTGACCTGAACACCCACTATATATATTGACCTAACACCCACTATATATATTGGAACTGGACGAAAAAGAAATATTTAGTTAATTTTTATTATTTACATAATCAAAACCAAACTAGATGGCTAATTTGCCACAATTTATTTGAATTCGGTTTCAGTTCAGTTTCTTTTATTCACATCAGAAACACAACCAAGGCTGAATTATATGATATTTACAAAAAATGTAGGCTAATATTAAAACATCAATCAAACACAAGCACAAGACATGAAAAATGGAGATAAAAGTAACATCAAAATACATTAAAATTTGAAACACATACACAACAGTTTTAAAATAAATGCTTTCTAACATTTTAGATCATACATTTTTCTCAAGTGATATATATGCATGAACACTATAAACAAAAACATAAAATCTAGGCCTATACCCCTAAAGGATTTTGCAATAATTAATAAAAACATGAACTAGAGCAGTCACTCCATAGAGTGCATAACTCCACCCTGTGCCTGAATACAGTACTGTACCAACGATATGCAGGCCGTGTATGATAGACAAAACTGCAGCATGACCTCAATGAAATAATGGAATTGTCTGTCGTATTCAGGCCCAATATTTTCTTTATTGCTGAAGCATACCCAAAAAAAATATGGAATCGCCCATTATATTCATTCACATTGCGTTCTTGAGTGCTGCCTGAATATGAGGGGCGATTCCATTATTTTCATTTAAGCTCGAGGGCAAAAAATCCTTTTCTTCCAAAGTCGAATGATGTCTTTCTTTGATTATTATGTACAATTCAACTAAATCTTATAATGATCCAATGATTATTTTTTGCGTAATCTTGCTAACAGACAGCAAATACATAACATCCTTGGCGGAGGTAATAATAAACTTTAATCTTCATACAGTATGCAGAATTTGATTCTATTCAATAAATCCATTATTGACAATTCCTGTCTTGTTACTGAATGACCCCATGGTTGGGAGAACATCGGGAAAGTGTTGGGGTTCATCATCTAAAGGGACATCTGGCGTGGAGCACATTGAAGCCACTGATGGCAAATCTTCCTCAATGGTGTTAAACAATCTGCTGCCATCAAAAACCAACTGTTTGTTCTTTGAATGCTGGATCTTGGAGGCTACATACTTTGACTCAACATGACTCTGCAATAAAATGGTTAAAATTTGTGTGTCTTTGTTTTCAACTTTAAGACATAACAGTCCATTCTCATGCAGGGCTCCCAAGTCCCCCGGATTGCCATGGCGTCTCCAGGAATTTTGGTTCATCTCCTGTCTCCCGGAAATTCCACATTTTCTCTCGGAATTTGAATTTCTATTGTATTCTCCAGGATTTTAACAGATTTTCACAATTAGGGCTTATTCTAAGTGGAATTTCCCCATTCTTATGCATTAAATAAGATTTATTGAACATTCTAGGCAGCAATATGGTATTAACAGTGACCTGCCCAAGCCTGTTTGTTTTTAAATTGAACAAGTCGATGAATTTGTACGCTCATGTCTTTGTACATATGTTTTATGTAGTACACGTGTCGCAAACCTCTGTCCTGCACGACAAAATCTCCAGGAATTTGACTTTCACAAATCGGGACCCCTGTGATGTTGGTGTGCCCATTTTGTATAACAATGTTTTCATTACTAACAACATTATCTGCCAATAAAATCATTAGTATTATTTCTATACAGTATTACATTTAATTCTATATTCTATATTTTTTGTTATTACCTTACCTTTTAATAATTGATATAGTAGTAATATAATAGGTAATTATCTCTATATTTGAAAATATGCAATCATTTCGTAAATATAATTTTATTGTCAATAAAGGTGAGACCTTTTTATACCTTGCTTAGTGAGCCCGCTGCCTGCCAATATTGATGATTTTAATAAAAATAAAATTTTATCTTTGGCAAATTAATGCACCCACCGCCATAAATGTAAATTTCAGAAAAGAATAACAGTTTTTCTTTATTTTTATTACGCCTGTCGCTGCCTTTAAATCTACAAAAATAAGATTTCTTCCCAATCATATAAATTTAAAGCATTTAACCATTTTGCATTACTACACTGTTTACATTCACCAATAAAATGTTATTTTTATTTCTCATCCGTCTGGATTTTTGGCAAAACTATTTGCTAAAAAGGAAAACAAACTTATATTTTTATATTTTTTCAGTCCTCCTCAGATGACCTTTAAAAATAATAAGTTTGCAAACCAAGGTATAAAAAAAGTCTTGCTTAATTCACAAACCTCATTTTCACTTCGCATGACAATTGCCCGCTCTATATGATGCTCTATATAACCCTCTATATGACCATCACACAATGGGTTTGAATATTTCGTCTGAAGTAACCTGCGTGCACGAGTTGACAAACTTTGCTCCATCACCAAGACTATTTGAGCCCACTGCAAATACAAAAGTAAGCCACCTATTAATCATCAAAACCCTCCTCCTCTGGGGAAAAATCTTGCTCATCCCTTCTACCCCCCCAGATGTGTATAAGAGACAGGCATAACTCCACCCTGTGTCTGAATACAGTACTGTAGCAACAATATGCAGGCCGTGTATGATAGACAAAACTGCAGCATGCCCTCAATGAAATAATGGAATTGTCTGTCGTATTCAGGCACATTATTTTCTTTATTGCTGAAGCATACCCAAAAAAAATATGGAATCGCCCATTATATTCATTCACATTGCGTTCCTGAGTGCTGCCTGAATATGAGGGGCGATTCCATTATTTTCATTTAAGCTCGAGGGCAAAAAATCCTTTGAACTTTTCTTCCAAAGTTGAATGATGTCTTTCTTTGATTATTATGTACAATTTCACTAAATCTTATAATGATCCAATGATTATGTTTTGCGTAATCTTGCTAACAGACAGCAAATACATAACATCCTTGGCGGAGGTAATAATAAACTTTAATCTTCATACAGTATGCAGAATTTGATTCTATTCAATAAATCCATTATTGACAATTCCTGTCTTGTTACTGAATGACCCCATGGTTGGGAGAACATCGGGAAAGTGTTGGGGTTCATCATCTAAAGGGACATCTGGCGTGGAGCACATTGAAGCCACTGATGGCAAATCTTCCTCAATGGTGTTAAACAATCTGCTGCCATCAAAAACCAACTGTTTGTTCTTTGAATGCTGGATCTTGGAGGCTACATACTTTGACTCAACATGACTCTGCAATAAAATGGTTAAAATTTGTGTGTCTTTGTTTTCAACTTTAAGACATAACAGTCCATTCTCATGCAGGGCTCCCAAGTCCCCCGGATTGCCATGGCGTCTCCAGGAATTTTGGTTCATCTCCTGTCTCCCGGAAATTCCACATTTTCTCTCGGAATTTGAATTTCTATTGTATTCTCCAGGATTTTAACAGATTTTCACAATTAGGGCTTATTCTAAGTGGAATTTCCCCATTCTTATGCATTAAATAAGATTTACTGAACATTCTAGGCAGCAATATGGTATTAACAGTGACCTGCCCAAGCCTGTTTGTTTTTATATTGAACAAGGCGATAAATTTGTACACTCGTGTCTTTGTACATATGTTTTATGTAGTACACGTGTCGCAAACCTCTGTCCTGCACGACAAAATCTCCAGGAATTTGACTTTCACAAATCGGGACCCCTGTGATGTTGGTGTGCTCATTTTGTATAACAATGTTTTCATTACTAACAACATTATCTGCCAATAAAATCATTAGTAATATTTCTATATACAGTATTACATTTAATTCTATATTACATTTTTTTTAACCACAATATAATTTTTTTGTTATTACCTTACCTTTAAATAATTGATATAGTAGTAATATAATAGGTAATTATCTCTATGTTTGAAAATATGCAATCATTTCGTAAATATAATTTTATTGTCAATAAAGGTGAGACCTTTTTATACCTTGCTTAGCGAGCCCGCTGCCTGCAAAAATTGATGATTTTAATAAAAATAAAATGTAAATGTAAATTTCAGAAAAGAATAATAGTTTTTCTTTATTTTTATTACGCCTGTCACTGCCTTGAAATCTACAAAAATAAGATATGTATATTTCTTCCCAATCATATAAATTTAATGTATTTAACCATTGCACTACTACACTGTTTACATTCACCAATGAAATGTTATTTTTTATTTCTCATCCGTCTGGATTTTTGGCAAAACTATTTGCTAAAGAAGAAAACAAAATTATATTTTTATATTTTTTCAGTCCTCCTCAGATGACCTTTAAAAATAATAAGTTTGCAAACCAAGGTATAAAAAAAGTCTTGCCTAATTCACAAACCTCATTTTCGCTTCGCATGACAATTGCGCGCTCTATATGACGCTCTATATGGCCCTCTATATGACCATCACACAATGGGTTTGAATATTTCGTCTGAAGTAACCTGCGTGCACGGGTTGACAAACTTTGCTCCATCACCAAGACTATTTGAGCCCACTGCAAATACAAAAGTAAGCCACCTATTAATCATCAAAATCCTCCTCCTCAGGGGAAAAATCTTGCTCATCCCTTCTACCCCCACCCTCTCCCTCCCTCTTTGCGGATTCTTACTCCCCTGCTCAGTAGCTGAATATGTTCCTTCTCTGTGGCTAAACTATCTTCGTCATTCCCACTCTTAATGAATATTAATTTATCTTCCAGTTTCAGTGGCCGAAATGTTCATTATCTCTCTCTCCCCCCTTCACCAGTTGGCATTTTCCCCTTCATTGTGGCTACATTTTCCATTGCCCCTTTCTCAGCTGCTAAAACTTCCCCATCTTTGCTCATCATTTAAATAAATGTTATTCATTGTTTCTTCCCTCACTTCTATAATGCTGTACTTTTTTCCCTTACAGTAGCTACAATACCTACCCACCTCCCCCCAAATAGCTCTGTAAATAAAATGCAATTTAAACAAACCTGTCGTTGATATTCATTTTCCGCTTCATCGATCCCACTAAATGTGGATGCCATCATTGCAATCAACATATTGATCAGCAACAGAGATACAAGGACCATGTACACAGCAAATAAAAGCTGAAAGCAAACAAATACATAATAAAATTCTTTATGAATACATTAGGCAAGATTCTTTTTATTCCTTGTTTCGCATACTTATTTTTTTAAAGATCATCGGAGGAGGGCGGAATAAAAATAAAAATAAAATGTTGTTTTCTTATTTAGCAAACAGTTTTGCCAAAAACATCCAGACGGAGGAGAAAATAAAAATAAAATATTGGTGATTGTAAAATAGGATGGTTAAATGCTTCAAATTTATACAATTAGGAAGAAATATACATATCTTGTCTTTGAAGGTTTCAAGGCAGTGGAGGGCGTAATAAAAATAAAGAAAAACTTTTATATTTTTTTCTAAAATCTCCACTTTTTCGTGGTGGCTGGTGCGCTAATTGGCCAAAAATAAAATTTTAATTTTATTCGAAATTATCAATATTTGCAGTCAAAACAAGGTATAAAAATGTCTTGTATTACAAGTAAAAAAAAAACTTTGTATATATAACGTCTACAATGTTTAGAACCATGTGGAAACAACCCAGAAACGGCAAGTGTGATAATTTTACCACAAAAGTTTTGTGGTCTAGTGGCTATAATATACGCTCTTTAAGCAAAAGTTCTAGGTACGTTAAGTTTCAATATAATATAGTTATTGTCGATTTAGTTTTATAAATATTCCTATACACTACTTTTTAAATGTTCTTTTTAAATTTTGATAACTCACCTTAGCTATTATATGGTGGTTGGTTTGGTTAAACTTGTTATATATGTCATCGAACTCTCCCAGAGACATGATGAACACACCAGTTATAGATTGCAATAAGTAGTACTCTGTTTCTCCAGGTTTTGCCTTGTAACTAATAAATATGACATGCATTGCTGAAATGTAAATATGAAGCTAAGATGAATAGGCACCAGCTGGGTGTCATTAGGGGTATTAAAATGATAATGGGGAGGGGGAGCGCTGGGGAACGAAGGTGAGGTGCTTAATAATAAAGTGAGGGGGCCCTAGGCTAGCACTCTCAGACTAAGGGCGATTTGGAACAGCGGTTTTGGTTCTGCTTCTTAACCTTGAGGTGGAAGGTTCAATCCCTCTCTGTGCATTTCGTTTTGTGTCCTTAGGCAAGACACTTCGGTTGTCTCTCCACCCAGGTGCACATGTGTGTACCTGATAGGTTCAAATACAAAATGCGCTGATTACAGCTACAACATTATGAAATTCTCCCCAAGGATCTGAGTATGTGTTCCATATGCTTGATCTAATGACCGGGGGTAATAATGCCTTAAGCGCATAGAGGTCTTTACAATATGCACTCTATAAATTGACCCCCGTTTATTATTTTAAGGTGTTATGAGGCCTTAGTAAGAACAGTAAGTTATAATGAAAGTTTTACCTTGTGAGAATCCAATAACAAACACAGAATAAATGGCAAGAAACTTTAGCACGTCCCCAAACAGCATCTTGTAGAAGATGAACACAAATTTACCAATCAACGGAAAGGCCCTAAGTAAAGAAAACCGTGTTGACAATTTCTATAAAAAAATATGTACTTTTATAAATCTGCTCATTAACACAACAGCTTACTTCAATTCTTGCACCTACGTACTTACTTACCTTAGGAAAAACATAAAATAGGGAACAGTGGAAAGCACAGCTACAATCAAAAAAGCATCTTCAAAATGTGGACTGCATGGTGGGATGCGAAAAACAGAGCTCAGAAGAACCAGGAAACAGGAAAAAAGGAACAGGCAGCGTGACGGTGCTTTCATCTAAGATGTGACGGGAAAAAAAATCAATACAATTGTTTTACTGAAGAATTTTAATCAATCAGCACTTGGTAAAATTGGTTATAAATTGTTATAAACCATATTGTTCCCAATGGAATTCAAACTCGACTTTCTGATTACTGTCTGTGCACGCGTTAACCAACTGAAGGAAGAGGCCAGGATGTAAAATCCCTTCAATTTATCCATTATAATAAAGTGCTAAACAGTGAAATGAGAGCTATAAAATGGTAAAAGAATCATTTAAATCCGACATTTTGTTATGAAGTTACAGGAGTTTAAACATACAGCTGTTCAAAAAATATTAAGAAATCAGCCTTCAAAGTTAACGATTTTGGGCTTTTCTTAGGCAGAAACCATTGAATATGGGGAAAATCATAACAACATAGCATGATGTATATATATATATATATATAAAGGTTAGTTTAGCACAATAAAATAGATTTCCAAAATTTTGACATTCCAGCATGTTTTGGCCGAAACAGGATTTGTGACGAGTGACTGGTTTGGCATGTCTTTGCCACATATGCAATCAATAATAATAAATCACACAATTAATTTAGGTAGGGAAAACATATACTAATACTAGTGGTAAATAAAGTTGATACTGCATTTTTGAGAAATATAGTCAGTAGATCTTCATTGTAAAAGTGAATTAATGTATAGGTCTGATTAATGGTTTAGTTGAATTAAATCAAAATTAAATTGAATAAATGTATTATTACCAAGAATGTAACAGCATCCTTGCCATTCTGCCTAGCTTCATTCAAGCCATATATCAGGTAGAATACGCAAAATGCATACGTCATACTCTCGCAAAAAATACGCACCTAGAAAATAAGTATTTATACATTTATTTCAACAGTATATAAAGAAGTTAACAGTTACTGATAGGCTGATATTCAGGGCCTACTAAATATACACAGACAGTTTTTTAATCACAATAGCACTTTTGTCAGACATCATCTGTAACTAGGTCCGAAAGGGCCCCAGTTCAAGAATAACAGCCACGCCCTTTGATGTGATAGGGGAATTCCCTGATCAGATTCTTAGAATATTCATCATAAGGATTGCTTCTTTTACCCCCTACTTTTAAAGGCCTACTGTAGGTTAGTAATAAATACTAATGATAAATGGATTCATAATAATTTTATGTGGACATATTTGGTCTCAGCAGTTATTCTAAACTAATCAGGAAAATTGATGGCATGTAAAATTAAACAATTGCAGTGGCAGATCAGGGAATTCGAAATAGAGGGGCCAGAGAGGGATTTTCACAGGTGAAAGGATGAAGACCACCTCAGTTGGGGCTGAGATAAGAAAATTTATGATTATAGCACTTCCAGATTGCTGGAAATGGCACTCTCAGACTTTAAAATAATGAATAGAATTTCCTTTTTCCCCCGTTTTCTAATAATTTTGATAAAATGGGGGGGGGGGTTGGGCTGGCTGGAGCACCCTTATACACCACTTAATTGAAATCACCACAGTAATCAATAACTACTCCTCTAAAAACCGAATATTATTGAGGCCATTTTCTTCTTCATAATTAAGTTGGAAATTATTTAAATTATTATTTTTAGGTCTATTTATGAATGGCCCCTAACAGCCCTGGGCCCCAGTGCTTTGCACTGCCCGTAGCTACACCACTGATCTGTATCATTACCATCACATAATGGCTTCTAAGGGTATTATTTTTCAATTCTGAGTTGAGGAGTACCGTATCTTTACTCACAATGTCCTCTGTTGTATCCGTGTAATGTATATAACAGTAATTTTCCACAGTTTCATTTTTTAAAATTCCATCACTATCAATGATTTCTTCCAAATAAGCCTTTCGATCCTGCATAAAAATCAGCAAAATATAAATTATAAATTGTTTATGGCTACTATTCACTTTAGTGTATGTTAGCAGTACTATCACAAGGCTGTAACAAGGATTATTAAAGGGGGAAATATATGAGAACGGGGGTTCTAGGGAGTGTATAGGCTCTCAACCTAGACCCCTGGTGGGGGATCATCATTTTTTTAAATTATATATTTAATTCATTTCAGTATATGTGGCAAAGACAAGCCAAACCAGTCACTCGTCGCAAAAATTAATTTTTAGTTATTAATACAGGGTTAAACAGTATAATAA